TTAATTTTAGTATCAATATTACATGCCTGAATTTAATTAATTAGTTATTAAAATTAAAAGTAAATTTTATTTTTTATATAACTTAATAATAAAAAAATATTAATTATTTTTTTAATATGTGTCCATAAGAAATAAGTTAAAAAATTATAAAAAAAAAACCATTTAAGATGAGAAAATTCTTAAATTTTCATGATGGGCATGATTTTACATAATTAATATATTGCTGACGATATCTTCCACGCATGCATTGATCATCAGCAAACTTCCTGGAAATGACTTCGGTAGTCAAAGTTGTACACTCATTGCCAATTCAACATTCCCTTTCATTTTTTGAGACGTCGCTTTGTTGGTTGTGGAATATTTCACGCATGCGCCAGCAAAGGCACAACGTGAAAAGAAAATATTAAAAGTCTAATTTTCAAATAAGTAAGGTGGCTCCTGAAATTCTTGCCCCCAAAAGGGAAAATCCATTACAACATAAGAAGGAGATTAGGCTTATGAGCGGGTGGATGAGTTAGTATAAGATTCTTTTAGATTAATTAAAAATTTTGGTTGCAAATTCTGATAATACAATTCCGTTAAAACTCATGAGAAAGAATTTTACCTCTTGTTGAATCCTATCCGAGTTAAATTCAAATTAATTAACGGTCCAATAGGCTTTTGAATACTAACTAATCCATTAAAAAAAAAAAAAAAGAGATTGGTGGAATGGCAAGAAATCCAGCCTGCATATCCTTAATTTAATAAGGTCAAAATTAACTCCAATTGGATGTTATATTTTGTTCAACCAAACAATTTTGGTCAATCATTCCGAAACTGACTCTCTTTTATTCATATTTTATTTTATCTTAATATCTTTATTTATATATAATTTACTAGAGGTTTTAAAGCTTAAGTGGAAATGGGTTTGTGAATGAAGTTTTATGTCAATTTATTAAAAATTTATCGGTTGAAGTTGTAAATTTTATTCTTGCAAATAAAATGTTTTTTTTTAATTTGTTTTATTGTGTATTATACTTAATTTTTATTATATGTATCATGTGCGTGCGTTTTGTATTTAAACTCTTTTTATTCCCTTATGATTAAACTTTTAAGAGACTATAAAAAGAATTCAAGTGATTTTTCTTTTGAATTAAACAACATGATAATTAACTTAGAAGTAAAGCATTGAGCTGTAGAATTTTAAGACTCAATAAAAATTGTGCGCACGTAATTAATTAGAGTTGGAGCATTACAAAGTCATTGTGCTTGGTTTTTTTTTTTTCTTAATACAAGTTTTAAAACACGAAATTCGATCTTATGATCCAAGTTTTGAAGTTATTAACTAATTGCTGGTATCAACGTGGCATACTCTCATTGTAATAACTTGTTAATGTGATACTAATGAATTGAGGTCCGTATAACCAATGATTTGTTGATCCAAGTAAAATGAACTTAATTTTCTTTAATTAAAATTTCGAATTTGAGTCTTATAAATGAAAAAATAAGTGTTAGAAGAATTTCTTTCCTAATGAGATTCAATGCAATTCAATTTGAAATTAATCGAAATCTAATGTAGTTATCAAATATCAAGAAATTAACAAAAAAAAATAATAATAATAATGTCCGTATTTGAAAAGTGAAACTAGCTGGACACAGCACCATAGATTGGCCAATAACTTCGTTTCCTCAGACCACAAGTCATGCAAAAGCTTCGTATCATCGGCAAACGCTGGCAAATCTCTTCTTAATTTCTCAAATCCGGACAAAACACACACACACTCACACGAAACAAACACTGATTACGAAATATAAAGCACCATTTCTATTGACAATAATTCACTTATAACGTGTCTTTACACTAAATTAATTCATTTGACGCCACAACAATTGTAATTGACTTTTTTTTGCTCAATAAAATATGAGTATACTTAACTTAATGACATAATTATTTGTAAGTTTTTGTTAAAGAGTCATTATGACATTTTTATCAAAAAAAAATTAATTCCTTCCGCATTTGTTCTTTTCTTGTAAAACCAAAATAAACACGTTAATTACTTTTGCAAAGCCAAAATTCTCCTCAAAAAAGAGTTCAAACTTTTCTTTTTTGCAAGTGAATATGAAATTAAGGTATTAGTCATTAATTGTTTCTGTTGGTTTTTTTAAAAAATATATTCGTGTTTTTTTGACTAAGTCTTTTCTTGACGGGAATAATAAAGAATAATTTCAATTAATTTAAGATGTGATCATGTGAGTGAGCATTTTTGTCTTGCGGAAAGAAAGATAAACATGGTAGATGACAGATATATTACACGTTTGAGCTTAGTCAGATCCGTGTAACACAAGAAAAATCAAAATAAAGTACATATGTTAACAACCGTATGTTGAAATTTTTTTTTATCTTAATTACATAATAAAATGTAATAATTTTTATTTTTTATTTTGTTTTATTTGTATACCATACAATTCAAATTTAAGATTTTTTACTTTAAAAAAAATAATCATTAAGTTATTTAAGTTATTGACGGTATATTGAAATTTTAAAAACGAAAAAATTACTATTTTCATATGAGCAAGCAATTTTTATTCTCGCAATTAACCTTGCTAAAAACTGCATTAACATTTGATCAATAAAACAGGGATATCAAGATCAACTGCTTCAATATTCCAAAACATATTATTACCAAACAAATTGGTAGTAATTGACATGTTGGCATTTCTTATTATACTAAAAGTGAAACTGGAAATTTGAATTATTAATCTACTTTCAAGCTTTTAATATTTGATGGTTTGAATTCAACAAACTTAATAAACATTTCAAATTAAATTCTATATCTAACTTATTTAACAAATAAGTTGAATTTGAATCTAATAATTTTAAGTAGTTAAGGGGTTACTTAATTCATTACCAATTTTATTAGTTTGTATCCTATGTATAATAGTACTAAAACGAATATGCTTATGTTATAAGAGGGCAAGTGGGTCTTCCCCCTCCCCTACCCACCCAGCTACCCTAAACTACCACGCAAAGTCAATGCATATCAAATTGCATCAATTGACCTTTTTTTTAAAGGCCGACATCAATGGACCTTTATGTTCGCCAACAACCCTGCAGGACAAACCTAAATTTCCAAC